TTCAGCCACTGAGCGGTCTGTGTGACTCAGAATTCCCCTGTGCAAGTTGTGACATCTGCGTCCTCAGAGCCCGGGAGGAAAGAATGGAATAGCTCTGGGTCCTCCCCCACCCCCCCAAGAGATGGACCTTTATCTCATCTTTCTTGGCGCCTGTCCAGCTCCAGGCCTCTGGTCCTGACAGAGTCCTTATCACACACTAAGATGTGGCCGGAGCTTGGGTAGGAGGATGAAGCCAGGCTTGTGAAAGAGCCTGACTTGTTTCTAGGTGGGGGTGGGGGCGGAAGGGTTTCACTGATGCTCTTTAATCTAGTATTGAGTGTCATGTGTCAGTGGGTCAGCCTGGGTCCCCAGAGCTGACGTCTGGGGGACATCCCCCCCATGGGGGGGGCGCAAGGGGACCTTGGGCTCCCTCCGCGCTCCGCCCCTGGGTTGGCATGGGAATGTGAGGGGCGCAGCTGTATCTGCGGTGGAATGCGGGCGGACCGGCCCCTCAGTCCCCTCCTTCTCTGAGCAGAGCATGGGGCAGGCCTGGCGGGACTGGGGGACGTCTGATCTTAGTCGCCTCAGGCCAGCAGCTCCCACTCGGTCCTAAGGATCACTCCTGGTCTGGGTCATCGGTCACTGGGGGGAAAGAGCCTCTTCCTCTCTGCCTGGCCGGGTGCACTGTGCCGCCTGCCCAGGGCGGCCTCCCAGCCCAAAGCCTCTGCTGCTCAGACCAGGCACAGCCGTGAGGTCGAAACGGGGGCATGCGTGGAGCTGCTTTGCGAAGAGGACACTGGAAGCCAGAGCGTGTGTGTCCCTTTGGGCCTCCGGAGCTCTGCCAGGCTGCGTGTCATGCTTGGGTCTCGCCTTCAAATGCTAGTATTTTTCAGGCACGGCCTCGGGGCTGTGGCACCCAGGCCATCTCGCTCTCCTGCTAGTGGCCTGCTCTGTCCCTCAAGCCCAGCAGAGTTCTCTCAGGATTGAAACTTCCCCACTGTGCCCTTGGCCGGAGGCTCCCTGGTCTTCCCTGGCTCTGCTCGAGGAGTCCGTGACTGCACGAGGTTACCTTTGGGTAGCCCAGTGGCAGGAGGCTGGCTGGCCAATGCCGCCCTCTGGTGGGCACGGTGGAGGTCCGCACCCCTTCCTTGCCAGGGTGTAGCTCTGTGGCCTTTGCCCCTGGCCTGCTGGGGACTTTGCACCTGACCTGCCCCTGGCCTCGAGACAGCCTGCCCCTTCCATCCCCCAACACATAGCATTTCCTGTCCAGTGACCTTGGCTTTCCCTCTTCTGTGAGTGCAAGTGCCAGGGCCTGTGTCAGCAGGCCCAGAGAGGCAAAAAGGCTGCAGAGTCCAGCCTGGTTTCCTCCAGAAAGGGGATGGGAAGCCCCAGGGAGAGCTTCCACCGCAGGGTGAAGGGTCTGGAGGGTCTTGGGACAGGACCCAGAAACTTAGTAGAGTAATACCAAGGAAGTTCGAGGCCGTCCTTAGCCTGAATGAGGGCTTCCAGGCAGGGTATCTGGAACCTGTCTTCCCAACACGTGGGAAGGGAAGGTGCGTACCTGGTCTTGCAGGGCTCCAGTAGGTACCACTTTCTCCGAAAAGGGGACAGCCTGACATTTTCCATGGGATATGAGTAGAAGGAATATTTATAGCCGAATGAAAGGCTGCAAACTGGGGGAACCTGCTAGGATGGGGCTCTGCCTGCAAGTGGACCCCTTTGTGCAGCAGTCTGCTGGCTCTGTTTACTCAAGCCAGGGGAGGAGTGTGCTGAGCTGGCAAGGAGACTTTGGCCCTTAACCCTTCTGCAGCCTGTGGGGAAACATCAGGCATTTGCAGCCATTGGAATCCAAAGTAGAGCTCAGAGTCTACCTTCGCTACCTTCGCTGCCTCCTATATTCCTGGCTCTCTTTCTTGAGGGGTTGGTGGGGGGAGTTTGGGGGCCAGCCCCTCTACCTCTTGCCTAGTGATTTGGACATGAAGTCCTGTCCAGATCTCAAGGTAAGAACTCATGGTGGAGAGAGGGGAGGAAGCCGCCCTAGAGACCCTGTGGCTTGTGTAGGTACATCCTGGGGCTCCTTTCTCTCTCTCAGGTAGACAAAAGTTTGGAGAAAATTGGAAAATGATGTGCCTTCTCCCTGACATCTACACATGCCACACTTTAAAAAAAAAATTATAGGGCTGTGCTCTGTCACCCAGGCTGGAGTACATTATGCAATCACGGCTCACTGTAGCCTCAAACTCCTGGGCTCAAGGGATCCTCCCGCCTCAGCCTCCCAAGTAACTGGGACTACCGGCTCGAGCCACCATACCTGGCTACTTTTTAAAATTTTGTGTAGAGATGGCGGTCTTGTTATATTGCCCAGTCTGGACTTGAACTCTTGGCCTTAAGTGATCTACTCTCCTCGGCCTCCTGAAGTGCTGGGATTACAGGCTTGAGCCACAGAGCCGGGCCCCACAAGCCACACTTTGGATGTTACTTTATTATTTTACTTTTATCTTCAAGGTTGCTCTTTTCATGTCCTGCCCAGCTTCTACCCAGAAAAGACTTAGGAGGAGAAGTTGGTGCTTTACATCCTACCCTGCTCTCCTTGGATGAAGATATTTTTCTGGATTTCACAAAGCAAATAAACTGTGATGTTTGCAACTTCCAATGTACTGTAGCATCTGCTCTCCCTTATAAACCTCACCCCAACACTATGAGGTAGGGGTTATTCACCATACCTTACCAAGGAAACAGGCCCAGAGAAGCTAAGCGATTTGCTGTGTGGCATGGATCGTAAAGGAGCAGGGACTCGGACTCAGGTCTGCCTCAACTGCAGAACTAGTGACCTTGTGTCTCTGCACGCCAGGACTGCTTCCTCTCACCAACAGTGGACCAGCACAGGGATCTGTGTTGAAAAGAGTGCATTGAAATCATAAACCAGAATCTAATCCATAAACTCATAAACCAAGCTGAGAATCACGTCATGACGAGGGGCTGTGGGTGTTTGGCGGAGTCCCTGATCTAGAATGGTCGACAGGGAAGAGTGACCCTTTACCTGCTGTTGGGTGTTTGGAGCCCGAGAGACCTGAGTTCAGAGCCCAGCATTGTCACTTTGGCCAGCTTTGGCAGTGTGGGGACATGCCTCCGCCTCTGAACCTCAGTTTTATCATCCATACTAGTGTCGTTGTGATGAGGAAGGTGGGTAGCACAGGTGAAGCTCCTGGCCCTGGTGGGTGTTCAGGAATGGCAGCTGCTCTTGCTGCCCCTACCAGGGTTGCACTGGTTGCCTGCTCTGGGGAGCCCTGTGGGCTGTCATAGCTTGCTCTGCCCATGATGGAGGAGGGACCCGCCCATGCTGGGTTGAGTCCAGAGGAAATGGGGACGCTGCGTGAAGCCCGGGCAGCAGGTGTGGCCCTAGAGGGGCCACTGGGATTGGCCTGGACACTGGTTCCTTTTCTGCTGTTACCTAGATAGACCAACTCCCTCTAGTTCCGGTTTGCTAGAGACAGGAAGCCAGACTTTCTCTGGAGGACCTGTAGGGGGAGGAGGGGGGCTGCAGGAACTGACCTTCCTCGGAAGTCAGGGGACCAGGACCTGGGGGATCAGACTCCCCTCTAACCATCTGGGCAGGAGCCTGGGGTAGGTGTGGCCAGCCTCGGGGGTGGGAGATCAGGGCAGGCAGCTAGGAGAAGGTGAAGCCCTGGGTGAGGGCCTTGCTTCCCTCTTCCCTCCTCTGAGTAGGGGTGGGGCCAGGGCCAGGGCCACAAGGAAGCATCAGACTGGCAGCCTTCAAAGCGTGGGCTCCCGACATTCAGGAATTTGAACCCTTTGAATATGGCATCTTGTGGTCACAGCAGCCTCGAACAGACCAGTTCTTTAGAGTTTGGGGCTTCCGAGGAGTGGGACAGTCCTGCCACTCCTTGGCTTTGTCAGAATTCCAACTTGACAGAGTATTCGGAGGATCAACTAAGACAGTGTGTGCAGCGTGCCTAGCTCGGTGCCTGGTGCTAGGAAATGGCAGTGAACTCGGCCATTACTTTTTTGATGATTATTATCCCGAGGGCTAGAGATTGAGCGTTCCCTGACTCGGCAGGTTACCAGGGAGCCCAGGGTGAGCAAGTCCGTGAGCACGGCAAGAATGAGGGTGTGGCATCTGGGGCCAGGCTGTTAAGGGTCCTGGGAGGGGAGGGGATGGGTGTCAGCAGTTCCTATCCCTTCCCTTCCAACTGTGCCCTTCTCATCTGGGGATGGGACAGGCCTAGGGCCCCCCTGTTGGCTGCCAGGTGTCAGGGTAATGGAAGCTTGCGCTGAGGGCTGATTCGGCTCCTTTGCTACTGTTAAAAGCAGAACAGTGGGGCCCTGGAGCCTCTGGGGCCAGGCTGCTGGCCAAGCTTCCACAGAAACGGCCGACAGAGCATTCTTGTCCCCCACTCACTGAGAGAGTGGGGACCACTACACTAGCCCATTCTAGCCCCTACCTCCCCACACACCTTGCCCCATAGCCTGGGCTTCTGCTTCTCCCTGATCAGGGGGGCAGGTGCCACCTCAGGCGGCCCCTCCAGTCTGGGGGCTGAAAAAGCCTAAGCTCTTGGAAGTGAAGCCAGGGCCTGGCACTGCCTGGGCCCCTCCCCGTGACGTGGGGCCCCTCCCGCCCATTCTCTCTGCGGGGCCCTGCAGATTCAGAGGTCCAGGCAGGCATTTCTCACTCACAGCCAACGGTGCAGGAGGAGGTCAGGAGGGATCACAGAGCCAGGTGCCCGACTCCCAGAGGTAGGAGCGGCCCCAGGGCCAGCCCCAGAAGTGAGCCTCCAGGCCACCTTCGGTCTAGGCTGGGGAATAGAGGACAGCTCTGGAAGCCGGTTCTTGGCCAGGCTGGTCTGGGCTGGTAGCTTCCTGTCCTGAAGCTGGTTGTTCTCCTGTGGGTGGGGCAGGTGCTAGAAGGCATTAACTCTTGAGGCACAGGCAGGGAGGACACTGCCACTGGGAGTTCCCAAGGCTCCTGGTCCTTACCTGCTCTCTGTGCCTTCTCTTTGCAGATGCCCTGCTGGCGGACCTGGAGTCCACCACCTCCCACATCTCCAAACGGCCCGTGTTCTTGTCCGAGGAGACCCCCTACTCATACCCAACTGGAAACCACACGTACCAGGAGATTGCCGTGCCACCCCCTGTCCCTCCACCCCCATCCAGCGAGGCCCTCAATGGCACGATCCTTGACCCCTTAGACCAGTGGCAGCCCAGCGGCTCCCGATTCATCCACCAGCAGGTAGGGCGGGGACAGGGGCTGGGAAGCCCCCAGAGGTTTGGAGGGCAAAAGGAAGCCTATCTGGCAGGGCCTTGGGGAGCTGGTGGAGGAATGGAGTTGGGGGAATCAGCTCTCCCCGACCAGACGCTGCTCTTCCCACCCACCACGTGAGGGGACAGTGACCAAGTGTTAATCACAGGTCTCCTGGCCAGACTGGAAATTCCCTGGTGAGACTGGCTGTGAGCAGGAGCCTTCTGGGGGTGACTCGGGCTGTATCTGTCCCCCATTCCTTTTCCTCCCCTCGGGGGAGCTCTGAGCACCCTCCTTCTTGCAGCCTCAGTCCCCGTCACCTGTGTACGGCTCCAGTGCCAAAACTTCCAGTGCCTCCAACCCTCAGGACGGCTCTCCGTGTTCCCGAGCGGGCGAGGAGGAGCACGTCTACAGGTACTGCCCAGCCCCGCCCCAGCACCTTGCCCTTCTGCTCAGAAATCTCAGGGACCTGATCAGGGCCGGAGGCAGCTGAGGCCAGGGACCAGGCATGACAATTGGCCCTGGGGGTTCTGCTTCCAGGGTCATTGGTTTAAGCCGCAGGAGGCCCTGAGGGCCCTGGCCAGCTCTCATACCCCTTGCCTGGCCAGTCTGCCTAATCACTGCCATCTCCTTGCAGCGGGCGGGCTGGGCTGTCACATCTCCGTGTAGTTGAGGAACTGATGCAAGACTTCCTTCTTCCCCTCTTCTTACCACATCCCTTCCCTGCCCTCTGTCTTCTTGCTGGGGGAGACTTCGTACCCCTCCGCCTTACTCTCCTTGAGAATCTGGGGACTGAAAGCCGGCACAAGGCCGGAGAGTATCTCACTGTCTTCTTTCCTTTGCCTCCCGAAGCTTCCCCAACAAGCAGAAATCAGCTGAGCCTTCACCCACCGTAATGAGCTCCTCCCTGGGCAGCAACCTCTCTGAACTCGACCGCCTGCTGCTGGAGCTGAACGCCGTGCAGCACAACCCGCCGGGCTTCCCTGCAGGTAGGACTGGGGCCTGGGCAGGGGCCCGCCAGACCCCCCGGCCCGGCTGCTGGCCTCTGGCTCCCTCGAGGGCTTAGGGACTAAGCAGCCTTTTTCTCTGTCTCTCTCTCCAAGATGAGGCCAACTCAAGCCCCCCACTTCCCGGGGCCTTGAGCCCCCACTATGGCGTCCCAGAGAATAACAGCCCCGTGGGGGGCAAAGCCGGGCCCCTGACAAAAGAGAAGCCTAAGCGGAATGGGGGCCGGGGCCTGGAGGACGTGCGGCCCAGTGTGGAGAGTCTCTTGGATGAACTGGAGAGCTCTGTGCCCAGCCCTGTGTGAGTACCCCCCGGGCTCTCCCCGCTGGGGAAGGTTTGGCCCAGCCAGTGCCCAGGCCCCAGTGTCTGTCCCCTTAGCCCTGGTGTCACCCATTCCCTCAAGTGCATGTTGTTTGCCAGGTACTGGGGGTGTAGTGGTGAGTCATGTGGGCACCATCCCTGCCTTCAACTAGCCACTGCCAATCTGAAAAGACGGATGTCGCACTCACCAAGGGCGCCTGCCGCTTAGCAGCAGTTGGCACAGGCTTTCGCGCCACAGCCACCCGATAGGGTTCAAATCTTGGCTCTGCCAGTTACTGTCAGCTCTCAAACCTTAGTCTTCCCATCTGTAAAATGGGATGAGGGGTTATGGGATATCAAGGACAAGAGCACCTGTCTCGGTAGGGGTGAGACCAAATAATGGTTCCTGGCTCGTAGCATGTGATACACACGGCAAGTGCTTAATAATGTGAGCTCTTATTAGTGTTATGTTATTGTAATAATCTCACACTTACGTGTAGTATTGTGGAGGAAACATCCAGGGTGCCGGGGCTGGTTTAACAGGCGAGCTTTCACTTGGGCTGGGGGACCAGAGGAGTCTTCTTGGGAAAGGTGCTGTTTGAACCACCCTCTCTTTCCCCCAGCCAGCTCACCTTGGCGCTGTCCCCCTGGCTGACAGCCCCCTCCCAGTGATGGGTCCCCAGGAAAGATTGGGAGCCAGTGGGCTTCCCTGGGGTTGGGGGTGGTGGGGCCCCAGTGTCAGAGCTGAGATGTTGGTCTGATCCCCTGGGAAGCTTGGGGCCGGACTCTGGGCTCCCTGCTGAAGCCATGCCTGCCCCGCAGCCCTGCCATCACTGTGAACCAGGGCGAGATGGGCAGCCCTCAGCGAGTCTCCAGCCAGCAGCAGACACGCATCTCGGCCTCCTCTGCCACTAGGGAGCTGGACGAGCTGATGGCTTCACTGTCGGATTTTAAGGTGCCCTGTGACCCCCGCTTCTTCCCTGCCCTGCCGCCCTCCCTCATCCTTCTCCTCCATTACCTCAGTGCGAGTCGCTGGACCTTGGCCCTTCGGTGTTTGGGTGCCTCGCCCCTCGGCTGGGGATCCCACAATGCCCTGGCTTTGCCAGGATACCAGGATACAGGGGAGGGAGGGCCAGGCCCATCTGTGTGGGGATTGAGCTGCCGCGGCAGCCGGTGAAGACAGAGAAGCCAGAGAAACGCTCAGCTGGGACATTCCTTCCTCTCTGGGTGCTCCCAGCCACTTAGGGTGAGGGGATCAGGAGGCCGGGACACTGGGACAAAGGGCCCTGTGTGATGGTGCTCTCGGTGGGGGAGGGTGTTCTGTGCTGGGCCATGTGGGACTCGGGATCCCGTGTCTGAGAGGTCACTTGCCCTGGAGCCCCATCTCCCACGCTCGCTGTCCTCAACACATCCTCTTTCTTTCCGCCTCTGGCTGCCGAGTCCGTGGGCCTCTCTCACCACCCTCCTCCCGTCCTTCCCTGCCTGCCTCCAGGGCCTCTGAGTTCCCACAGGCTCTATCTGGAAACCACTGGGCCGGTCCTGCACGAGGTGCCCCTTCCCCTCCCCTCCCCTTCCGGGCCTCCCGGTCCTGCCAGGCCCGAGATGTTTTGTTTAGAGGCTGCGGTGCCACAGTGGGGGTTGATAGCGACAGAACTCTGTGGCAGTTGCTGACTTCACACTTCCACGTGGGTCAGCAGGAGACCTCTGGGGGCATGACTCCGAGAGTATGAGGAGGGGAGTGAGTGGCCCGTGCACTCTTGGCCCCAGTGGTGCCTCTGAGTCTCCCGTGAGCTGAGGTTTCGTGGTGAAGGATGGGAGCATGGCTGGGGTGTGGGCTGAGCCTGGGCCTGTGACCCTCGTGTGCCGTAATTCCGGCTCCACGCCTTCTGAACAGTTACAGTCAGAAGCACGTAAGTTGAATTCAGGCGTTGGCCTAAGGGAGCCCTGCCCTGGCGCCTCTCAGGCTGTCGCTTTCTCGGACAGCCTTGTCCCGGTGCCCAGCAAGAAGCTGCGCTGGTTCTGGCCGTGCCCCCGGAGCAAGCGCTTGGGGATGTGGGAGAGCTGGGATTGCCCGGGAAGGACACCGCTGAGAGTTGAGCCAGCATCCGCGGAGGGCCGAGCAGCTGCCTGGGGCTGACCTGCCTGGTCACGCGTCTCGCCATTGTCCACCTCACTTCGGTCTTTTCTCCCTCATACTGCTCTGGGTGGCCCCCAGCCATGGCCTAGTGGCTGCTTTCTGGCCTGGGTTTGACGAGGGCCAAGCACATGAAGCCCAGGAAAGCCTCCCTGGCGTCTGGATCTTCTTCATGGGTCAGTCCCGTGCGTCAGTACTGAAGCCACCTTAGTCAGTGTAGATGAGGGCTCTGAGAGCCCTAAGACCGAGCCCGCCCTTTCCTCGCAAGGAGCAGCCTTCCTCACCTCTCTTCTCTCTCCTCTCCCCGCCTTTGTCTTTCTCCTCCTCCAGACCAGCTCCTCCACCGTGGCCCTGGGCTCCCCGGGGCTGCTGCCCAGCTCTGCTGCGTCCTCACACCTCTCACTTTCTCCCTCTCCTCCTCCCCCTCCTCCCATGCCGTCTGTATTCCTGCCATCCACCACTAAGCCCTCCCCTCGAGGCCAGGGCCACCCAAAGGCCACCTGTACTGAGCAGAGGGGACATGGCCTTCCACCTCCTGTGGCCCCCAGCTGGCTTGATTTGGCTGGTCTTGGGGTGATGCCTGACACCTGCAATTCAAGGTCTCCCTCTGTGGAGGGTTCTTTGGGGCCATGTGGTGCAGAGAGCCAGGCCCGCGATTGCAGGCACCTGCCGAACCTCATGAGTGAGCTCTCTGGGGCTCCTCCCTGCCACACTCTACCCTGCGCTGGGAGCACGAGTCCTCAGGAGCCTGGAGACCCTCAGGGGCCACCAGCCAATCCTTTGTGTGCAGAGGAGGCCGTGACTGCCACATGGGAGCAGCCATGGGCTTTGGAGGCATTCAGGCCCGAGACTCCCTGTGGAGCTGCTTGCAGCTTCCAAGAAGTCACTGAGCCAGTGGCTGTGGCTGTGGACCGTCAGGCCATCTTGCCAGATACCTGGAGTCTTACGGAGGAACGTGGCCAGCGGAAGGAGAGGGCAAGGCCAGAGGCAGGGAGGCTGGGAAGCAGCAGCCCTGTTCCAGTTAACAGGAAACACTTGGGTGGAGAGATGTCTAAGAGGAGAAACCTGACCAGGCCAACCCAGGGACCTGAGACCCCAAGGAGCCCAGAGGGCACCACCGAAGCCGCTACCAAGACCAGGAAGGAACAGCCGGAGCTTCCCCATGGCATGGTCACGGGCACACCCAACGCCACGGAGAGGATTTCCACCTCTGGCCAGGCAGGCGCCAGCTCGCACGGCTGCTAGGCATGGTCCTCGGCGGGTCTGAGTGTGGGCTACTCCTCGATAACTGCATGCAGCCTTCCACTCCGCGCATGTCTGCTTGGGCAGAAAACACTGAGATGCCGTGGCCTGCAACCCGACGACCAGCATTTGGCGACAGGCTCTGTGGGGTCAGCAGAACTCCTTGGACCCCAGCATTTCTCGTAGTGACAACCCACCTCCTGCTTGGTTAAGGCTTTTCCCTTAAAGATGAGCTACCCTTGACATTCTGACAAAATGGTTAAAAGCATGGACTTTGGAACCAGATAGACCTAGATACAAACCACATCTCCAACGCTTGCTACCTCTGTGACCTTGGGCAACCCGCTCCATCAGCCTCAGTCTTCTCATCTTTAAAATGGGGATAATAATAGACCATTTCCACCAAGGATGTCCAGAGAACTAAATAATTCGTGGAACATGTTTGGAACACAGCACATGGTCCCCAAGTAAACTGTGGCTGACAGTACTTTTATTATTATTTATTTCCTGCTTGATTCAAACTTTATGCCCTTTCCAAAAACAAAACAAAACAAAAACCCCTGAAACACTACATCCAAGTGTAATATAATATAGTGTAACAATATAAACCAAAAGAAAAACTAGTTAAAAGATTTACTGGAAGCAAAGACTCTAAAATTGTAAATCAAAAAAAGAAAGAAAAGTCCTTATGCTCTGTCAAGAGTGTCCACTTACATCCTCTCAAATAATTCTTGCAATGACCCTGTGAGGTAAGCCAAGAAAATACTGTTACTGCATTTTAAGGACAGAGAAGCTGAGGCCCATGGACGTTAAGTGCCTTGCCCGGGGTCAGAGGCTGATTTGGAGGTGAACGCTGGGTCAGAGGTCTCCCGAGCCAGTCCTGCTCCCTGCCTCCACCCACCTCACCTTGGCTCTTCTCGGTGCTTTTGTTCTGCCCTCCCCTCACCCGGGGCACCTGAGTGTGGACTGCGCGGCGTCGTGCCCAAGCCCAGAGTGGGGCTGTGACAGCCTCCCCCTCCCCTCCCCCAGATCCGCTCCGAGATCAGGAGCCAGGAGACGGGCCGTGCACACCCCAGGTCCCGGGAGCCCTCCCCTCGCCGCCGGCTGGACCCCGCCACCCTGAGCAGGACCCCGTCCCAGGAGCGGCTCATCGCAGAGCTGCAGGGTCGGCTGGGCATCCAGCTGGAGGCAGAGGAGGAGGAGGCGGCGGGGCCCTCTGCCCAGGACTGGCTGACCGAGGGTGTCATCATCACTGTGCAGCCATGCAGGAAGCGGGCCGGGGGGCAGCTCATAGAGAAGGTGGCCAGGCGATGCTGGGGGCCGGGCCAGGGCTAGGCGGCAGGGGTCCAGTTTCTCCCCTGGCCCCAGTGCTGGCCAGGGGGCAGGTTTGGGGGTGGTGGGGTGGTTCTTGTGTCCTGTGGCCTTATAATGCTGGCCTCACTCTCGTGGGGGAGCCTGGGGTGTCCCTCCCATCCCCGCTGGCTGAGCTGGTGGTTTCTTCGGTCTTCCTCATCTCTTTCCCTCCTTTCTTCCTCCCAGGTTGTCTTCCCTCCTGGCTCTCCCATTCCCCTGAGAAGAACCATCTCTGTCCTGGCTTCTCCTCCTTCTGTCCCTTTACTCCAGCATCGCAAAGACGCCTCGGCCAGCAGCTCTTCTCCCCTGCCCAGCCTGCCCGCCCCCTCGCCCCCGGGGCCCTCAGCTTGCCCCCGTGGTTCTCCTGGGGTCCCGAGTGTGGGGGAAGAGCCCTGTGACCAGGATGTGCAGGGCCCTGCCCCTCCCACTCCTGCACCCCACACCATGAGGTCCGTGGGCTGCCAGACCGACGAGGACCCGCTCTTCCCCCCAATGCAGGCAGGCCTCCCAGGGACCCCAGCGCCGGCCCTTCCTGTCCCCGTCCTAATACCCGAGCCACCCCCCACTCTGCACATGTGTGTGTGTGTGTATACACACACAGACACATACACAGACACACACTGTCCATCCACAAGCCCCAGCACAGTAACCACAGTCCTTGCTGAGACTTTGACCCTGGACCCTCGCTGAACCTGACGCCCAGGCCCCCACCCCTCTCCGTGTCAGCTGTGGGGTCCCCCCTCTGCCTGCCCTTCCCCAGCCACCCCAGTACTGCCCCGGGCTCCCACCCAAGGAAGCCATTCCCAAGGGTCACCAGCAACCCGTCTCCTCCCCCAGGCCTGGCACCTGCTGAGGCCTCCCCGGGCTCTGACCACGGTCACCTCCCCTTCCCATGTGCTGTGCCTTTGGGCGGCTCACCTCCCTCTCCCTCTGCACCCCTCCCTGGGCCTTCCTCTCCGGGCTGTTTTTCTCTAGATATTTTTGCCTCCTGATTTTAGTACTGCCAGTGGGGGGAAAATTGTCTTATCCCATTCTAAATTCCCTTTCGTGACATGGTCCAGTGACAAGTCTCTTATCCTTTCTTCCTTAACTCTTAAAAAGCATTTCTTATCCTCCTCTCCTCCCCCACCTAAGATCCAGGGCCTGGAACACAGAGCGGATGGGGAGCTGTGCTGGGCGGACGGCGGGCAGAGCGGCCCCGGAGGGCAGGACGAGGGAGGGGTCAGTGCCCAAGGCCGGGGGCTCAGTTGCTGCACGTCATGTTTTCCCTGGGCTTGCTCGTGCCAGCAGGGTGCCAGGACCCTTGCTCTTGACCGTCTGTGGGCTCCTCTGACCACCATAAGGTCCTGTCGATGCCACTCCCACGTTTAGGGCTCTTCTGGCCCCTAGAGGAGGTCACACTTTTTGCCTCAATCAGCTCATCTGTCCAGGAGGGAGAAAACTGCCCCCTGCCCCCCATGCCATGATACCGCGAAACCCCAAAGCCCAAGCACCGAAAGTCCTAACCAGCCCCCTCTCCCTGTCTCCACAGTTCATGGCCCAGGGGAAGACGGGGAGCAGCTCACCGCCTGGGGGACCCCCAAAGCCCGGGAGCCAGCTAGACAGCATGCTGGGGAGCTTGCAGTCCGACCTGAACAAGCTGGGCGTTGCCACAGTTGCCAAAGGGGTCTGCGGGGCCTGCAAGAAGCCCATTGCCGGACAGGTGATGGGGGGGAGGTGGCGGCCGGTGGGCATGGGGACCTGTGCTGCTCTGGGGGGTGTTCTGCGCCTGGCCTTGGCCCTGCACCGCAATCTGTCTTCCCCCTCAGGTTGTGACTGCCATGGGGAAGACGTGGCACCCGGAGCACTTCGTCTGCACCCACTGCCAGGAGGAGATCGGATCCCGGAACTTCTTCGAGCGGGATGGACAGCCCTACTGTGAAAAGGACTATCACAACCTCTTCTCCCCGCGCTGCTACTACTGCAACGGCCCCATCCTGGATGTGAGTCCCACGGCGCATGCGGTGGGGAGGGGCGGCCAGTGCTTCAGTCCGGGCACTGCGCCACACCGGCTCGGCTCGTCGCCACGGGAGCCCTCTGAGGGTGCGGGTGGTGAGATCAGGGCACATCCTGAGGCTCACACAGCTAGGAAACAGTTGGGCTGGGATTCATACCCAGGCCAATTAGGAGAGACCCTGACCTCGGAGTGTTTTGCTCTTTCCTTGCCTCTGAGACTCAGTGGTGGGATCTGTCCAATGGGGCAGCAGCTTGGCTTTGATCCCATATTTTACTTTCACAGAAAGTGGTGACAGCTCTTGACCGGACGTGGCACCCTGAGCACTTCTTCTGTGCCCAGTGTGGAGCCTTCTTCGGTCCCGAAGGTACGGGCAGACAGACGAACTCGCCACCTCCTGGGAGGCCTGGGAAGACGGGAGGTGGGAGACCGTTGATGTAAGAGTCAGGGTGACTCTACTTCTGGAAGCCTGAACTCTGTCTCCCAAACCCCTGCTCCTCAGGGTTCCACGAGAAGGACGGCAAGGCCTACTGCCGCAAGGATTACTTTGACATGTTCGCGCCCAAGTGTGGCGGCTGTGCCCGGGCCATCCTGGAGAACTACATCTCGGCCCTCAACACGCTTTGGCATCCTGAGTGCTTTGTGTGCCGGGTAAGGAGTCCCCCCGGCCCCGGCCCCTGCCCTGGCACCTCTGGAGGGGGCTGGGAGCAGACAGTGGGGAGAGGGGCTTTTCTTCCTTGTGCTGCCTGGATCCAACTTGGAGGCCTCGTTTGGGGTTATTAATGGGGTGAGCAGGCAGTGGGATATACTTCCTTAAGTCTGATAGGTTCTGGGCCAGGGCTTGTACTGAGGCTGGGACAGACCAGGAGCAAGGTAGACACGTCCCCCATCCTGTACAGTGGCCCCGAGACGGTCATATTCAGAACTGGAGTATGTGAGAATTAAATGAGATAATGCAAATATATAGCAGACTCAACAGAAGTCGGCAGTGATTTCCAAACTGCATTCTGGGGGGGGTCATGAGGTCCCACATTTTTATTAGAGACTCAGCAAGGGCCCTCTGTCCAAATAAGTTTGGGAAAAACACTGTTCAGTGCAGGACTTCTCAGAGCCTTTTATACCTAAATGTGCACCTGAATTTCCAAACAAGAATCTAGGATGCAAGCTTTGACCACAGACCCTTTTTTCCAGCACCAGTGTTTCTGGAAACACAGTGACAGCCACCTGGTTAAGTGCCCAGGAGTCAGACTTATCTATGAGTCCAGGCTGTGCAGCTTGGCAGCTGTGTGACCTTGGGCAAGTCACTTAACTCGTCCGCCCCAGTCGCCTCCCCTGGGAGAAATGAATAGCGTTTAGCGCAGCACCTGGCACGTCGGAAATGTCTAGCAAGTCATCAGGAGTGTGCCAACCATGCTGTCTCTGGCCCGTCACACTGGGTGCTGCCCCAGCCGGAAGGGACAGACCCCTGAGCCCCCTCTTTCCACTCCACCCCTCCTTGTGCCTCGCAGGAATGCTTCACGCCATTCGTCAACGGCAGCTTCTTCGAGCACGACGGGCAGCCCTACTGCGAGGTGCACTACCATGAGCGGCGCGGCTCACTGTGCTCCGGCTGCCAGAAGCCCATCACGGGCCGCTGCATCACCGCCATGGCCAAGAAGTTCCACCCGGAGCACTTCGTCTG